GTTGCACTGTGTATGCTCATTGCAGGTCGTTGATTCGCGGACTTTTGCAGACAGAGGCTCTGGAATCACTGTTCGCCCATATATTCGCGCTGTTGTAAGTTGTTCGACGAGTGAACTGTTCGTTAAGGCAATAGTAGCTCGACCTTTTTCTCCATTCAATCCTACGCCGCCGGTGCGATCACTGTAGTTAGCGTCACCGGCAACCTCCGGCATTATACCAAAGGAATCTCGCTTAATGCGCATGCCTTCTCGTCAACTGTCTCGTTCAAGGCAACGGCGAATAAATCACATCGTTTCCTATGTATTGGTCTTGGAGAAGAAGGCCACCTCCTTCTTATCAGTCTATTGGTTCTAGTGATGGTTCCATTCTCCCCCTGAAGCTCTTCTGCACGTCCAGTGGTGCTGCACAGTCTTCATGGCCGACCCGTCATTGAGCAAGCGATCATGTCAAATGACAGCTTCGTTATGTGACGTCACGTTATAGCAAGTGACGGTGGCGCCACGATGACTGCCCAATTTTTTTTTTTTTACGATCCGTTACGACATGAAGACGTCATTGTCAGTGATCATGTGACTTCATTACGTTGTTCGTCTTGACGCCGACGGTTGCATTTTCTATTTCTTATCTGGTATGTTCAGTGATGGGGTTTACTAGGCTACGCCGTCAGTGGCGTCCACAAATGCAGTGCCGCGACACGCCTATAGAAGGAGGCGTTCGAAAGAAAGTACTCGTGGAGCTCGGTATGAGAATGGAAAGTCGGCCGGGAGGAATCAGCGTCGAGGGCGACGTATCTGTTTGCTCTGGGCGACCCTCCCTCTGCACCTCCTTGACGCCGTGGTCGTGCGGGCGCCCCCTGAGTAACGGGGCGGATGGGTCGACTGTGTGCGAGCTGTCGTTCACGCATTGCTGCACCTCCTTCACCCAGTCCCGCACTCCGTACCGCTAGCTGTGCTCATCTGCTCCTTCCTCTTCGCAGTGTTTTTATTCCCTCCCGTCCGGGGTCTCCAGAGGTCGCTGGCCTCGCCCCGCGATCCGTTAGATGCATTAACGGTGAAAGCGGAGCGCGCGCTCTTTCCCCTGCACTGCCAGCTGCCTTCGCATTTGGCCACAATCCAGCGCTTCTTATGTTTCCACGCTTTCTCTGTGTATGTATATCTTGCTCCTTTTTCGCTGCTTAACGGCTCTATATATTAGTGTGCCAGCATTGATCGGTTGTGCATACTGTACTACAAGAGACAGAATATAGAAGTGAGCGATTTCCTCTCGCAGGCTTGCCGTGAAATAGCATAGCACCGCACTTATTGTTGTCATTGTATAGAACAGGCATATTAATCCTGCAAAGTTGTTGGTAGCTTCCTCGGTTTTAAACAAGTACATTTGGCTCAGGCTGTGCCGAAACCGGCCCGCTTCTACATACTTTGCATATTTCAGCATGGCTAAGCTACAATGAATTTCGCGTGGGTTAATCCCAGCTGTACCGTTCCTTTTTTTAGGCTTCCTAAGTCCACGTGCTCTACGTCGCGACGGCATTAAAAAAAAAATACCCTGCACTCACTGCCCCGGCTATGAGCGTCGTGCTATTACGCTTTGGCTACCGAGTGCGGCCATACATGAACGTTTCGGCTTGTGCAAACTGTAGTAATACGTGCACAAACGCCATGAAATATAGTAGCAAAGAATGCTTGAAATAGCATTAGAGGGAAGTAATCGTGTTGTAATATTTTCTTTAAGGCGCAACCTAATGAAACCAATTGGTTGTGTCCAACAGAGAAGACAAGGCTTTGATCTATTTTCATTCTTTCGTGCACTATGTCGTCGGCTGTTATAACATTTGCAGACTTTTGTTTTGTTACGTAACCTTCTATTTTTCAAAAGTACTCTTAAATGTGTGCAATGCATCGGCATGCCGCATGCAAGTGAGGCTGATACCATTGACTACAATTCTGTTTTTAGGATTTTTTTTTCTACGCCCCGCGGCGGTGGTTAGTGGATGTGACACTTAACTGCTAACTCGAAGGTCGCTGGATTGAATCCCAGTGGTGGTGATGACTTCATTTTTGATGGAGATGAAAATGTTTGAGGCCCATGTTTCAGATTTAGGTGCTCAATAAGAAGCTCAGGAGGTCGGAATGGCCGGGGCCCCCCACAACGACGTATCTCAACCATATCGAGGTTGTAGAGCGTTAAACCCCAGATAATATTATTACAAATGTTTTCACGTCAATAAAATAGAATAAAATTCAGTGAAACGTGTTGCTTTTTCCGTGGGCCTCTTTAGTTTTCCTCTAGTCTGTGTAACTACAAACCGCCACCAAGCGGAATCTCGTGTGCACATGGCCCCTTTAGACCTTACCGAGTCAGTAAGGAGGTCTCAAGGCTGCCAAAACAAGGCCGTGTGTCTAGCTATAGCTCTTGTCCCATAATAGGTCTCACAAGTGTTGTGTAGTAGCGAGTCTAAGGATCTTCACCGCCCCCTCTGCGTACGAGAAGGAGCAAGCGATGCGCGTCATATGATTGTCGCAACTTTTCGCCCGCCGCAGCCAACCGCAAGGCCAACCTTTTTATTTTTCAACCGCCCCGGCTTGGTCTTCCTTTCTTCGTCGCTGTCTCTACGATGTCAGCCTCGCGTAGCGCTTGCGCTGCCTTCCTCTTTTATTGTCAAGTTCGTTTCTAGTGTCGGTGCCGCTCTGTTCTTTGCTGCTGTGATTACTTGCTTGTTCTTGGCTTCAGTGCCCTGCGTGCTACTTCTGCTTTCAGCGCTTGCCGTCGCACGCGGAGTTAAATATAACCGATCTGAGTGCTTTGCACGATCACCAGGCGTTTCTCGCTCCTCATTTCGCTCGTCGCTATTTCCGGGCTTTCCACTTTCTGAACAGCATCCGACATTTTCATATTGCTTATTGTTGTTACTTCGTTTTATTAGTGCTCGTGGATGTGCCTGCTAGTACAAGTAAAGTAACTTGCCCCTCACTTTACCTCTCAAGTACTAGTACTTTCACGAGTACTTAACCTCTAACTTTATGCTAAAGCAGGTAGGCCAAAGGAACGATGACAAAAGCCAGGAACAAAACAATGTCAAAACACGACATTTTCTTTGGTTACGATGTCGCGTTTCGATTTTGATGAATAGGCATGAATTATGAGAATAAACTCTAGTCTGAAGATAGCACCCGCCTTATGCACTTGTTCCTCGCTTCAAGAACAAATGAAATGAAAGAGCGCCGACCAAAATGAACAAAGTTTTAAAACAAAGAATACGTTTCGGCTCTTTCATTTCAGTTTGTAATTCATGCTTCTTCCGGACCAGACAATGCTTCGGCAGACCATCGACTTGTTCCTTGCTTGTGCATCGTTGTTTCTCTGTGCTAGCCGCTTTAACTTGAATTCCCACGCACTAGCCTTGTTATCTGTCCTCTTACTTCAGCCTGAAGTTGCTTATACGTGTATAAAGCGGAAACATCATAAGCTTGTTTAGTGTCTTAACGTTAAGATGTATAGTGCCTTCGTAGGGAAATTGTGGTGATGACCGTTCGAGAATAAAACAGGCTCGTAAATTTATTCCTTAACGCCTGCGCAGTTCTACGCCGAAAGTTAATCTAGCTTAAGCTTCATTATGACTAGAAAAAGTGCATTCATTAGAAAAGCTTCGAAATACTTCATCATTTACGATATTATTTGGGGGGGGGGGGCAACGTTAAAGCCACAAACAGCAATTATAGCATTTAAGGGTTTATTTGTTAAGCGAAAGTTTTAGTAATTGAATGTGTTGACATCTCAGAGATGGTCTTTCTGTGTTTTTCTTGCTTTGAAGTAGTATTTTAAGATTAAAAGAAATTTGGCAGATCCCACGTCCTTGGGAATCGATGTTATGCGAAGCAGTCAACGCTTAGTTTGATGTGATTCATTTCCTCTGAAGCACCCTACACTATTGCAGATCGTACCAACCCGAGGATCCCTATAGTATTTCATCAGCTAGTCACCACTGGGTGCATACCTCTCGCTCGCTTGCTCACTTACGGTCACCCATGCGCTCAGTTACTCACTCACTCAATCACTCAATCACCCGTGCACTCAATTAGTCAGTCACTCGCTCACTCAATCACCCATACACTCAGTCAGTCACTTACTCACTCAATCACCTATACACTCAGTCGATCAGACTTACAGTCACCCATACACTCAGTCACTCACTCACTTACTCACTCACTCACTCAATGACCCTATACACTCACTCACGCACCCACCCACTGTCACCCATACACATCAGTTACTCACAGTCACCTATACACTCATTCAGTCACTCACTGAATAATCCATACACTCAATCATCACTCACTCACTCAATCTTAGTCATCCATACACTCAGCCAGTCACTCACTAACAGTCACTCACACACTCAATCACCACTCAGTCAGTTAGTCACTCACAGTCACCCATACTCAATAAGTCGGTCACTTGTTTACTCCATCAATCAGACACTCAGAGTCACCCATACACCAGATCAGTCACTCACTCACTCAATCAATGGCCCTATACAATCACTCGCTCACCAACCACTGTCTCCCATACACTCAATCAGTCACTTACATTCACCCATATACTTGATCAGTCAGTCACTCACTTAATCACCCATGCACTCAGTCATCGCTCACTCACTCAGTCTCAGTCATCTATACACTCAGTCATTCACTCACTCACTCACAGTCACCCACACATTCAATCACTCACAGTCACCCATATACTCAATCACTCATGCACCCACTCAGCCGCTTAATCACGCATGAACTCGCCAACCACTCACTCAGTCTATACCACTCAGTCATTTATTCACACACAAACACTGTCACTGACCAACTCACCAGTCACTCGCACAGCTACCACTCACTCACCTTCTCTCTCCTCCTGTCATTCTCAGTCAGTCAATAAAAGCCTAATATGTCGCGTTATATTTTGCACTGGCATTACTATATCTTTCACCCTTTCGTCGTATACTGCGCAGGTGGTTCCCAGCTTCGAGTTCAAGTGCTGGGAGAACGCGAAGTCGGGCACGTTCTTCGCGCGCGACAACGTGGACAACTTCCTGCGATGGTGTCGCAAGTTTGGCGTCAACGAATCCGTCATGTTCGAGTCGGACGGACTTGGTGAGCGACTTCGTTCCATCCTCTCCTCCCCAACAACAACTATCGAGAACGTTCGAGGAGCGTTCGTTAGCCTCATTTTCGCATCAGCAAAGTGGCGATGCTGTGTAAACGGCCTGCAGCCTCTGCAATGTTAAACAGCTAGCGCTCTACGAAATAAATTGAGATTTCCAGATGTTTTACGTGTGCGCTGTGGTGAAGCACGTTGTGCGTTAGTTGCTGCCATAGTCACTGGTCTTTCGCGTCGTTTTTCATTATTAGTGCGCAGCTGCCTCCTGATGACCTGTTTCGTGTATATTTGGCACTATACGTTAACAGTGACAACTGTAGGTCGGAACTTGTGCACGTCGTAGACCGAGTGGATTTATTTATTTATTTATTTATTTATTATTTATTTATTTATTTTAGTTAGTTAGTTAGTTAGTTAGTTAGTTAGTTAGTTAGTTAGTTAGTTAGTTAGTTAGTTATATTTCAGCACAGTGTAGGCTGTCAGGTCGTTACAGCGATGCTTCGCTTAAAAATTTGAGCACTGGGAGTTGATTTAGACTCCTACCAAAAGTTTTGAAGAAACCCGACATTTCGAAGCAGATTTGGTTCCTTCCTCAGAGGTTACTGCTGAGACTACGTAGTAGCGGCGTCTTCAAAACACTCGCGGGGTGGATAATAAAGCACCAGACAGACTTCTGTCGAATGTTTACATTCAAATATGAGCACATATCATTCGTACCGCATTACATGAAAATACATGTTTCGGCATCTCTTAATTGTCGTTTCCTTGCGTCCAGTGTATGAGCAGGCTCCAAAACCTGCGAAAATGTTCTGGTAAGCGTGAGGTCGTCCTGAAAAATTACAATACGATTTCGAAAGCTAGTTTCGGTTAACGTTGCACTGTATTTCTAGAACACTTGGAGAAAAGGGCTCTAGAAACTTTTTTGAAGCCTGGCTCACTGGCTTTATTACCGCGATAGTGGTGAAGAGCGCGTATCGCACAAACTCCGGCGCCAGTGTCGGCGTCGTTGGTTGTGAGCGAAAAATCATCTCGTGCGTGATCAAAAAATCGAGAACGCCGCAAATAAGTATAAATGATAAAAGTACCTTGGTCAGAGTCGCGACCGATGGGTCTGAGTGGGGATCGAACCCGGGTCGTTTGCGGGTGTTCTACCACACGGCCACGCGTCCACTTGTGAACACAGAGAAAATAACTTCCTCTGCTTGTAAATGCAATGAAAGTAGGCTGCATACTTAACGAACACACATGTCCTTTAAACATGTTTCACAGTGCAACATGAAATATTGAAATAATAATGCGTGGCACAAGTACCCATTGCCGGTGGGTGTCAAAATATGTAATCATCATAATGACTTCGTGGTTTAAAGCCGGTCACACACTACAAAAGGCACCCACGCTATTGCGCCTATTCCCTGAAGGCCATGTGGTGGGCTACACAGCAAGTTAGAAAATGTTACATGCACCAATGACGATTTCCATTGAGAGAGCAGTAGTAGAGGGGCAGGGCACTGAGCAGTGGGGCGCAGAGCACTGAGAACAGGGCCACTCAACCTGCCACTGGAATGTGGTGCGCTCCCGGAGGGCAGGTAAAGGGGGTGATGAGTGGCGATACCATGTGGTCGAAACATTCCAAGCCCCGGCATATTCTCTGTGGGGAAGCAGCAAAATACACGTGAAACCGGTCAGCCACACGCTCTTCATTATCCTACTACCTAGTATGTGTGCGCAATGACGTTAACGACGCATTATACAGACGTCCAGCCCGTACAAAACAACGGTGTCAAATTACACATGGTTGCTACGTTGGCGCCGCGTTCGCCGGCTGAAGAAAAATTTGGAGGCTGTGGCGTTAAAGGACTACGTGACTCGTCGTACTGAGCCTATTCCGCTTTTAGGCGAGAGCACTGCAAACTGCTCCTGGCTGCTCTCCCTCTACCAATGGGGGACAGTGCTCCTGCACCTGTTTGACCACCGCAATATGCGGGCTTCGAAGAGAGGACTTTCAGCGTGCTTTTGAGTGCTCTTGCTCACCCAATGAAGTGCGCCATAGGTGTTTGAAGTACGCACCAGGAACAGGACATCTCTGTCGCGTTTACCCCATAAAGGTGAAACTTTAAAGTCCCCCTCTCCCCCTTTCTTTATTTTTCTGTGTTTGGGTGGTGTTATCTAAAATTTCATGTGCTGTGCGATTTATACACCACTTTAAGAGCTATTGAGTTGTGTAAAAATTACGAGTGGCAGTCACATACCAGTAATGTCGTTTGAATGTTTTTTATTTTAACGGTTAAGAATGTTCGCAGACCGAAAAAGACGTGCGTGGGTGAAACTACAGCTGGACTGGACCTCAAGTGATGCTTACCTATGTAGCATACTGCCTAGAAGCGAATAGACCTTTTTGAAGCAATTCCACAATGCCCCGCGGGCGCGCGGTGCACTGTGGGAAAAGTTGGTACGCCCAGAGAACCGGCTCTTCCTCCGCCCGCTGCTCGTTGACGCCGTGCGAGCACAAAACGAACATGCTGCTGCTTGTTGAATAGGGTCCGAACGCACCTGCATCTACATCTACGCATGAAATGAGAAATGAATAGCGCAGTTAGTGTAGGTATCACTTGACGGGTGTACATTGAACGTAGAAGATGAGTGGCATGCTAGTTGCAGCGTGCCGATACATGTGGTCGAAACATGTTATCGTGAGGAATTTGAACTGCATGGAACCTTTGATTCATAGTTGTTGACCGATGAACTGCTCATAAAGCGCTGTGGCTCTCATCGCCATCGCAGTTTGATTGGGCCGTTTACACAAGACTGCAGAGAGGTGTTACAGCTATACGTTTCTTTGATAATTTTTATGACAAGCCACGCGCTCAAAAAAGGAAAAGTAAACACATTCTAAACGTGTCTAAAGACGAAGGGATGTAACTATAATTCACGTGCGAGATACATCGCTCTGATAATTTGCGTTTTTTTTTTTTATAAGATGCTTAAGTATCTTGGTGTAGCAAGTTTGCCGGCAGTGTATTCCGTATTGGGTGAGACCACTATTGAATTTTGCATCGGCGTATTCAAGTATTGTTGATTGGAGAATAATGATGTCGTACTTACGCTCGGCTGGGGAAAAAAACAACAACAAAGAAACTTGGGCACCTTATATGAGCAATAGTTTCCAGCTGCGAGAAGGAGCGGTTCGTGAAGAGCTCATTGGCACTGCAAACAAAGATTAATACGGACGATCTTTACCCGTGAAGAAACTAGGAATATTTAATGTATTCCATGCATACGTTCTGCACAGTTTGAAAGGAAGTTGGGAAGCGATACAATGGGTGAATTGTGTTTTCCACACAATCAGCTTAGTAATATTTTTTCCGTATAGAGCGCAAAAGTTCTCAGGGATCAGCAGTGGGCAGAGAATAATACTGCCGCGAGGCGTATTGCGGATAGTGTTGCGCATGCCGATACCGCCGGCACGCGGCCTTATCGTGCGGGCCATGATCTTCGCAGATGAGTCGCGGTGCATCCTGGACCACGATAAGGCCGCGTGCCGGCGGTATCGGCATGCGCAACACTATCCGGGCTTGGACGCCCGTTCGCCGCCGAGGATTAAGCGAAAAACTCATGCGCCGTTATTTCGGCCCATACAAAGTCATCCGTCAAGTGGGTGAAGTGGACTATGAAGTGGTCCCTGATGGGGTTAGCTCATCCCAACGACGCCGCGCACGACAAGAAGTGGTACACGTCGCCCGTTTGAAGCCCTATCATGCGCGCTAAAGGAGGCTCCCTGTTTGCATCTCTTGTTTTGTTTATGTGTGCGTGATTCGTGCTTATTTGACATTTACCTTCGCACAGGCTGTCCTTTTGTTTTGGTTTTATTTTAAACAAAGCATGGGGTCGATGCTTACGTTGAGGAGGAGAGCAATGCCGCGAGGCGTATTGCGGATAGTGTTGCGCATGCCGATACCGCCGGCACGCGGCCTTATCGTGCTCCAGGATGCACCGCGACTCATCTGCGAAGATCATGGCCCGCACGTCGACCATTCGTTGATACCGAGATAGCACCAGACGCTACGGCGACTGTGTCTCGGATGGTGAACGCGCCTTGCGTTCCAGTGGGACATTTCTGTTACCCGACGGCCGTCGAACGCGCTGTTCGCCTCCCGCTAAGCCAGTGTGTCTTTTCTTCTTTTAGTGGGCGCAAGTCCGCCAAATAAACGGATCTCCTTCTACTTCTACTAACCTCCCGGTCTCCTGTCTTCGGGCTACTCTCACTCTTACGTGACAATACTATGAGAGGCATGCCAATTGTTTCGATTGTTGTGCAAGATTTGCTAACCGAATTCCTTTTGTGTTCACATATGTACATCGGTCAGACTTGTTGATGGGTCAACACGCGCCTCAGAGAGCATCAACTTTCATTGAATAACGCCATCTCATCGCACCTCGCATTTTTATTCATGGAAATGCGATTTCATCTTCGAAGACTTGGTAATCTTGCACAGTCACCCCAACCGGACCACGCGAGAAATCTCGCGCAGACATATCCTAAAGAACACGGCACCTTGCTTGAGTATATTAAGCTTCGCTATCGCTACAGCACAAGACACACAACTTTATTAATCAACTTTAAACACACGCCTCGGTTGTTAGGCTTTTTGTACCGTTTTGTAACATGCGCGATGCAGCCCCTATTTTCTTGTATATGCTTGTTGACACGTGCGATAACCTTTCAGTCGTGAGTGAGCGTTTCCGGTGTGCATATTTCTTTCCTGGTCCTACTTCTATCTTTTTGCCCTGGAGGCTTTGTTCCAACCTGCAGTTACAGTGCCATGGGAGGTTGGTAGATGCTTATGCGGCGAGGGGCGCGCAGTGGTATGGTCTATGCATTATATTTCACGAAATCGAGCTTATTTCCAAAGCACTCTCTGAATATACCAGAACCGTACAATTTACGCGTAAACAGGGTCAAAGGACATTGATCCCTAATGTATCCGTGAACTCATTGACAGTGCTTGCATCTATTCGGCAACCAAGTTGTACTGTTTTTTATTTATTTATGCTGAAGGCAAACTGACGCTAAAGGACGATAATAATTAACCGACGCTTCTGAGACGCTCAGCTGATTGAACAGGGGGCAAGTGCCAATTGTAGACGGGCCATCTCAACCAAACAGTGAAGTTTCTCAGTGAATCACACAGTAATACATCTCGCCTTGCCGAGTTCACTTGGTCTGATAAGCGCTGGCACGGTGCAAACGGAGAGTTGATGCGCGAGGCCCGCGCGCTCTTCGCGGTGGCTGCTGCATGCGGCGTGCCAACTTTTCCCATAATCGCTCGCGCCCCCGTTGGCGGGGCTATAGTGAGCTTCAAAAAAGGTCTGTTCGAGCGCTAAGATTAGCGTGACTCGTAATTCTTTGTCACTTGTTGCAGACTCACTCCGACGCGCCGACCTTCATTATAGGGACAAGTTGTCTGCTTCTTTCGGCGACAGATTTGAAGGATCTTCCAAAAACCCTTTACAAGTGAAGAGCGCGAAACGAGGCGTTCCTTGGCGAAGTTGTCCGGGCAAGTGCTTTGGCACGCTGGCAAGCTGTCAACAGCTTTTGGCAGAGTGTTCGAAGTGTTTCGCAGAGCATCACCCCCCCCCCCCCTCTTTCTTTCTTCCTTTTACTCTATGCGTCTTTTTTTTTCTTCACCTCAAAGAGCGGCCACACGTTGCCAAAAGCGAAGTACACAGGCAAACTTTTTAGTATTTTTTTTCGTTCTTTCGTTTTCACCGCCTTTACGCGCGCTCACATTGAGTGGCGTGTCAAAGAGTAGGTCCACTAAACGTCGCTTTCTTTTTCTTTTTGTTATGTTTTTTTCATCGTGTGTTAATCATCTCCAAGTTACTTGATGACTTGCCTGACGGCTCCTCGGAACAGATTGTGCACTTCATTTTTTTTTTTTGCTTTGCTAGAGAAACTGAGTGATCAGCTGGCGTTCCAAGAAATAATGCAGAAATAACGTTACCGTGTACTGCCAAAGAGCTGTAAATTGCCTCTTCTCTGGTAATTGCATTTTAATTGTGAACGCATGGTATCTTTCGTTAATTGAGGAAGATTCATGCCGTTCGTTATTCCTCATGCCCTCAGACGGGTGGGCGACGGTTATATTCAGTGAGTCTCCAGTCGCCTTGTTGAATTCGGTTGCATGGCTGGAACATGTCTCCCCTCCCTCTCAATCTTATCGGTTATCCTTCACCTAAAAGTACGGGGGCTCTTGCTTGCTGCTTAACGGCATATCTTTCCAAGTGAGAATAAAGACGAAAAAAAAAGTAATGTGTCTTATAGTAATAAATCACTTTTGCGCAATTCCAACATCGCTGCGCTTGCCGCTGAAACATGCTTGGCAAACAAGAAACGGGGCAAAATGAAAATGTGGTGGTGACAACGTGAAATACCCGCACCAAACGCCGCTAGGTCGTAGATTTTGACGGCGCCTGCTAACCGCTACGTACTTCCTAACCGATAGACATGAGCTACATTGTTCCCCGAGAGGAACTCAGACTTACCGCACCGAGCTTTAAAAAATCCTGTGAACTAATGTCGTTCAAATACCAGAAATTCACTCTCATACCTCTGACGTCAATGCTTGAGAACTCGGCGCGAAATTTTAAAACAAATTTTTGACTGATTTTCTCTTCTACAAACAAACCTGTGAAGGTAATAATAATGGCATTAGATACCTCAGAGTATGGGATGTGGTGGCGGAACGTAACTAACCGCAGTCGCTAACCTTCCGCTTATTACAGATGCCACATACCCAAACCTTGCCAATATTCACGTTTTCTATCCCGATGCGTGCCCAAGCGACAGCTCCTTCTTGCGGAAACAGGGCGACACTCGCATATACATGCGAGTGTAGAAACGCCTATCCCGACTCTATAGACACCAGAAGCAAGTGGTAAAGTAGGCGCTGCACCGTGCTCCCTACCGGGCGGCAGAAATTAGGCACCTTCTTCCTCTTCTAACCACTACCACCACCCTCAGAAGCTCACTCTTCGCCGACCAAGCAATGGGCCGTCCAGCACGAAGCGGCCGCCAGGTATTCCCTATCGGTCCCTACTCGCTCGCTGGATTCCGTGCTGACCGGTTGTGCCCTCGCTATCTCCGACGTCAGCGTGGCTCTGGCCGACTAGGCTCAACCTACGTCGTCTCCTGACGCCGACCTCCGACTACAGTGTAGCTCTGACCGACTGGACTTGCTCTACGCCATTTCCTGAGGCCGACAAGAGCTCTCGCAAGTGGTGCCCCGTCCTCGGACTCCTGTGACCGTGTTTCCATTTTTCCTACCTCTCCTATCCCCTCGATATGTCCTCCCTCGCTGGATCAGCGCATCTCTCTTTCTCTCTCTCTCTACACCTCTACTCCTATCCTTTTAATCCCTCCTCACCCCCATACCTTGTGAGCTACTGTTGGTGTCGCACCCTGATGCAGACAGTTACGGGCCTCACTTTTTTCTTCTTTTCCTTCTTATATAAACATAAACACTCCCCCCCCCCCCCCCCCGGTAGACGCCCGCTACGCGTTAAGCGCGCCCGGCAGGACAAAAAAGAAGTTCATATCTCGGAGAACAGTTTATGAATACAATGTGACTCATTGTTTCACTTTAATGACCATTCAAATATTGCAAGTGTATAATGTTCTTTCTCTCTCTTTTTCCTTCGGTGTAATGTGCTTGTCCTGACACACGCCACCACGTGCCGCAGTGCTTCACAACCAGCCTCGTTGCGTGGTGCTGTGCCTGTTGGAGCTTGGTCGCATCGCGTCTCGGTTCGGCGTCGAGCCGCCGGGCCTCGTGCAGCTCGAGAAGGAGATCGAGGAGCAGGAGCAGCAGCTTCTCCAGCAAGAGGACGACGTGCCAGAGGCCCTCCTGGGCGCAGTCGCAGACGAAGAGGAGTCCTCCTCAGCGTGCTCGTCGCCGGCGCTGTCCCGCGCCCACTCGTGCCTGTCGGACGACGACGTCGCCTCCAGCACCGGTGACCAGCCAGGGTACGACGAGTTCTCAATGAAGAGTTGCGCGCCGGGTCAGCTGTGGCATAAAGCGTAGTGCTTCATTTAACACGCGTGCTGTCAGGCAGTCGCGGTGATCACGACGTGACAGCTTTGAGTGCCTTTCAATTCAGGCGTTCAGCACGTCGTCTAAAGCTCAAAGCAGCTTCAGAGGAAGGCATCAAAAGGCTATGAGAAGTTCAAACACTGCACAAACTTTTTTCTTGAACCCCGCCCCCCTTTGCCCGCTCCCGCCTTCTCTAAAGCAAACATTGCCAAAACACAACGCGTGAGTTCCCCGCCTCCCTGCGCCCTCGCCGCGGTCCGGGAATGTTAACATACAGATAATTTTACTACTATTATTATTATTATTATTATTATTGAGCGCCATGTGGCCTACACTAAAACGATTTGGAGTAGAAAATATTTCGGTGAAAAAGGGTATATGTTTAGGCAACAAGAATGCAAAATTTACCATTAGCTTGGTATGGGTTCCTGTCTGTAGAGTGCAGAAATGTTTAATTGCTCTTGGCCTCGGATAGATAAGCCCGGTATAAATAACCTTGACCTTTTGGCTGACATCAAAGGTTGGCGACCTCGAACGGCGGCACTGACAGCGCCGTCGAGACTTCGCTGGAGCCCCAGCTGCCGGGCGCCGTAGCGGACGTCGTCGACGGCGTGCCCATCAACGGGTCCTCCAGGAACAAGGACGAGGACGACGACGACGGCAGAGACTCGGGGCTTCCTCACGAGGGCGGCGCCGATGACTCCCTGGACGGCTCTTCGCTGAACGGCACCTCTTCCACTCCCAGTCCGCCGCCGCCCGAGCCGCCGGTACAGGCCAAAGCCGCCAAGAAGGCCGAGGGCAAGAAGAAGGCCCCCTCGGACCTGGACCGAAAGGTCAGGGCCCAGCAGCACGCGCTTATTTTTCGTTTTTCTATCGTCTCGGCAGTTAAGATGGTTTGGCCCTATCGGTCGCAGTGTGTACAATTGTACGCGCCAATTTGCTGGCATGTCACGCACCGTGTGTATCTTCAAATTACTTGAAACTTAGCGTACATAATTGTGCCGGCGTGCTTAGTGCCTAACTAGCGATCGTTTACCTTCATTCTGCTGCCTGTTGGTGCAGAGGATCGCATTGCTGGATTTTTCAATGTGCCGCGTTCCAGGTCCAACAACGAAACTTTTCCAGCGAAAACTGTTATGAGATCACAACTCGGGTCTCGCGCAGCGCCGTAGTTGTTCGCTGCCGCCGCCGGTGTCCGTAACCACATTGCGTGAAATTAGCATAAAAACCTAGTACTAGTGACGCAGTGGTGCTCGAACCCGAGTCCGTTGGGTGCCAGCGAAGTATTCGACCACTGAACTACGCCAGTGCTTGGAACTTGTTGGCAAACTTGCCTTAGGTAGGCTTGATGTCGGGAAAGCAATCGCGTTAATACGACTTATAAAGCGTTTTAAAACAGCGAAAGAACAAGCAGTCGTCGCACAATCCGAATAGTGTAACAAGTGGGTCGTCCAAAGCCTCAACACATTACAAGTGCTTGCTTTTTGCTCAACTATTAACTGTGGTGCATACCCACTTCAGGCATAATTCCTCATCGTCGTCAGCCACTGCATGAACAATTGGCATAAAATTCCTCGCAATCGTTTAGCGGATACGACGCTTTTATTTATTAATTTACAAGTACTGCTGTCCCATGCCTAGGACATTGCAAGAGCGGGTACAGAAAAATCAACGAAAGCACAGAAACAAACAATAGTGCGCAAAAATTTATGTGACTAACACATTAACTTTTTCCCGAACTCTGCAGTGTTCAATCTACGCAATGCACCATCAAGCTTGTTCCAAATTTCCACCACACGCGGAAAAAAGAGAATTCGAAACAATCCAAACGAGCCCTAGAGGGTACAAGGTTCAAAGCGTCTGTACTATACGTGTTGTACGTGATGGTATATCAGCGAAAGATAAGGACGCGTGAACGCGGGGAAAATGCCGGCCTACTGCCCTAAAATTTTTATTATTAATGCCATAGTGGGCATCAAGCAAATGTACTCGCAGTAGTTACTCAATGAGTGTTTAAAAAAGGCTCTGAAAGGCCGCGCTTTTAGCTCTCGCTGTGACTGTGCGGCGCCTTCCGGGCAGGGCTGGCGTTTTTTCTTCAATCGAAGTGAATTCAACAACAACAAAAAAGCCTGCGTGCTTTTTAGACCTGATAGTTTATTTTTTATGCAAGTGTGGAAGCTCACTGATTGCAGAATAGTTATAGTTAGTTGCATGCTAAATAAAATAATTACTGAAGCTCACTCAAAACAAACCACTCCTTGATTTCCTTTCTCTTAATGTAATACTGAGTGCTTTGGCATCATGTCATGCGAATTGGACGCATCTCTGGATAATGCGTCATAATTCCTGACTGAAGGCGTTAGTGTTGGTATGTTTACACAATCGCATAGATTGGCTCTAATCAGTCAAATCATCAGCTGTTCTAGTTTTATGTAGCTACACAGTGTGGTGATCGGTAAAAAAGTTTCACTTTATTTTTTTTTCCTCCAAACGCTCAGATGGTCACTCGCGCGCGTGACATCATGTGAGAGAGAAAAAAAACTTTTTCTTTAGCTTCTTTCTTCCTACGTTTCTTTTGTAGCCTTATGGTCTATTTCAACTGATTAAGGCAAAAGCCTGGAATATCTCGTCAAACGCTAAAACTAACCATCGGCGTCAACTTGAGTGATGCAAAACAAAATCATAATCACTGGAAGACGTAAACATATTAAGACATCCTGACGTCACAGATCGCCAACATTTGTGACGTCATTGTGACTTCATGACCCCACTTGACGTGCTGTCACGTGATAACATCAATACCATATCGTCGCTTGGTCATATGTGTCATGATCACGGAGTCATTGCAAAAATGGGCAACTCCAGAAGGCCTGCCATGCTCCGATTGTGGAGGCAGTGGCAACCACGTTTAGTTCAGAAATGTGTCGCAAGGGGCGGGGTAGAATCAATGCATCGAATCGGACCAAAAAGAACGTGGCTGTTGCCTGCTAGTCGTCTTAGGTGAATGCATAAAAGACGTGTGTGTGTGTGTGTGTGTGTGTGTGTGTGTGTGTGTGTGTGTGTGTGTGTGTGTGTGTGTGTGTGTGTGTGTGTGTGTGTGTGTGTGTGTGTGTGTGTGTGTGTGTGTGTGTGTGTGTGTGTGTCACTTATGTTGACTAGGATGCATTTGTGATACCGCGGAACAGCTCGATTCCGTCGAAGAACGGCATTGGGATAAATTTCGGCCAAAGTGAGCATATTCATTGTTTTTGTTGTCGTAGGCGTAACTTGCGCTCAACTTCAGGTCATCGTTATCATAGGCTACAATTTACGCGGCGGTCGTCAAATCGACTTCAAGTTTTTTTTTTTTCCCTCTGTCCCCTAAAAGGAGTTCTGCTTAATAATGGCCTCCTCGAGTTTTTTTTTTGTGTGTATTTACAACACTGTTGAGATTATTCGCCACGCCGAAAAAGTCTAAGCTCTAGTGGCATAATTTAGTACTAATGCAAAACTTTGAAGGAGACGTATCTTGTTGGAAAATATTTTGCGAGCACATTGCAGGAATCATCTACAAAAATCAACAGTTAATGTAAGCCTATAGCATACTTAAAGAGACACTAAAAGGGAAAAACTTTTTTTTTTCGGTTATCAGTACGTTACCTTTTCACAATTCCAAGATCACCGCGCTCGCCGCGAGAAGAGAGTTCGTAAAAAAAAATGCCCAAAAGTAAACGTGGGGCGACGCCACCTTGAAATACCGGCACCAAGTGCCGTGACGTCATAAACATTTACAGTGTTTACTAAGACCTACTAGCTCCTATATATAGATAAAAAAGAAGCAGAATGTCTTCTGATGGACCCGGAGACTTAATGTACCAGTTTTCGGGAAAATATCGTTCTGCCATTATTGGCGAAATACGACAAAAAGCACTTCAAACTTCGTAACTTCGCGCGCGCAATTTCGGTGGCATATTTCAAAATACTATTTCACCTAAGCTTTATCCTCTGATATGGATGTTATTACGGTGAAATTAGGGGCTCTAAAGTTCTCAGCGAACACTTTATCAATATAAACCAATTCATTCTATCATTTGAGTGTCCCTTTAAACGCGGTCTTTCTTGTTTTCGGTGGAGCTGCTACACTACGCAGTTGAAGGGTATTTGACTTGATGATGTCGATCACAGCATCGTCTTTAGTGAACATTTGTATAGAAGTCATAAAAAATAAACATGCGTTTACAAGCTTTACACGCAAACGAGAATAATTATATGCAGAAATGAGCCTATGTCGCTGCCGTTAGCTTTAGCCTGTTGCTTTATTTCGCGACGAACCTAAGCCAACGCTTGTCAGATCCACAGCGTAAACAGAAAATGGCGCCTGTCGCATCTGAAAAAGAGCGTCTATCAGCTAAAAATATAATTTAGAGGCGTTTGATTGAGTGATTAGACGCGAAAAAGTTGTGTGCAGCCGAATGTGATATCGTTGGGTATATCGCGCTTCGTCAGCTGCGCTATCGAGAGTATGCATTTCTCGGTCGAATGATGTCTGGATAGGAGCTTAGCCAGGGGGTAACACACCGAGCACGTTCCCCCCCCCCCCCCCAATTTTTTTGCCATGCCATAGAGAGCGAAAAATTTCAAGGGGGTGGTGCCCCGCCGAAAAAAATTTCTGATTACGCGCCCAAACTTCTGGCGAATGCATTAGGAGACGAATGGCATTAGGGCGAATGCCATTTCGTCCGTTCATGTGGCACCGCGCGAATGACATTAAATTTGAAGAAATAAAGAGGTAAATTCCATTTTCTGTGCCTGTGTGGTTGGGTATTAAAAGTGCGTGTAGCGCAACTTCACGCGAAAATCTATAGGCGTGTCCTGTTGTCCTTTTCTCTGTTTTACTCAATTATCGCCGATGTGTTATCAGCACACCCGAACCGCAACAGCGCTAAACTATGTTTATATTTTTTTGCCCCAAGAAAGACCATAAATTTGGTAGGCTGTTCCCCTATTTTTTCACTCCTTTACAAGAATACTTAAAAAAATTACTTTACCGAATGACAAGCAAACAAAAAAACAGGTTACAGGCAAAAAAAAAGCATGCCACAACCTGATACCGACCGAAGTGCCTCCTATGATGACAAAGAGGATGACGCGCCGACGATCGAATATGCCTGGGAAAGTGGAATTACTAAGCCCGGGAGTGAATCATCTCCGTGCGCTTGCTCCCGTTTTTATAGGGCTTAGTTATTAATTTTTTTGTATGGTTTTTATTCATTGTACTTTTATTATTGTTTTGTCTTTGTTTTGTGCATAACTTTTTCAGTATAAGTAAGGTGCTTTTCATGACGTGCATGGAAACTAAGCGTGCGCGCGCGCACTTTCTCCCGATCTTGGGTCAAGTGTATAGATTGTGTGTGCCGTCATGTCCGGCGTCCTGCTTGTCCTTGTTTTTATGCAGTCGTGTACATCCTTTGGTTTGCCATTCGGGGGTTGTCGCTTCGTTTCCCCATAACTTCGTCTGCGCTATCGGCGTTGATTTCTGCAGTGGGCGCCAATATTGGTCAGTCCACGACAGTTGCGTGCAGCTCGAGTGAAGATGGGCCGCCTATAGGTGGCCCGAGAGCGTGCAATGTGCGCATTCTACTGCGTTTTAACACGATAACGTTAGAGATTCTTTCGCAGAAATTCCGGTGTCGGTGTCATTGGTTGCGAGTGAAAAATCATGTCGTGTGCGAGCGAAAAATTAAGATACAAATGTAATAAACGATTTTTTTACAATTGTACATGTCTGGGCGGGTCTAAACCTGGTGGTTTGCGTATCAAGCAAGTGTTCTACAAGAACGCCACGTGCCTGCTT